AAACCACACGGGGGGGGGTTCACTACAATGACAATAATGACTTGTAAATTATCATACATGCACCTGTATCTAGTTTGCAATTATGATTATTTCACTGCTTCATTCATTGGGTACACTTAATATTATGCATGTTTATGTTAAACGTATGTAGGATAGGCAGTCAAAACTTGTAACATTTGAATGAACTTAGTACGTAATCTCTGACTAAAAATGTATAGGTCAATTGGTATATGTTTAACGCCCCTATCAACACGGTTAGGTTATTTAAGAGGCGGGACCAAGAGGACCGAGCCAAGTGGGACATTCGGGTGTAAAGTGCCTTTCCTAAGGACACAACGTCGGACAGAGCTGACGTGACAACCTGCTAATTCTAACCTTCCTCTGCCCTCGCCTACCTCTCGTTCTCCTTTCAAATGCTGTGCACATCGCAGGATTGTCTTGGCAAACCCTTGAGCTCGTGTGATGTCTCTATTCCAAAGACTGCTTTACTTATACATTGTAAATGTATTGCACTGTTATTCGTATGGCCCGCTGGCGTGCCTGATTCTGATTTCACTTCACTTCACCGCTGTTCATCATTCGTGATGAATGGTCTTTGCTTTGTAAGAGACGCATGGGAGTTAATGAAAGCACCTTACAGACTTCAACATAAGTTAAGGACCATTTGCAAACATTCTGAGTGGTCTTCTTCGGTCGACCTGCATTTGGGCGTTCTTGGACTGATCCAGTGGCTTGATGGCGCTACCTCAAGCGGACAATGACAGAGTGTAACACTGCAAGCCCCCTGGCAACTTCTCAGGCTCCAACTTCATAGGCCTTGCTCTAGCACAATCAGAAATTTTGACAGAGGAATGTTCGTGGTGTCGCACACAAGTCGATAAAAAATAGCAAATTTGGCTAAAAATCCCCTAGGATTTCCGTGCAGCACGTGGTGGTTTTGCCACTTTAGAAAGCTTTGTAGTATGCATTGGTAACCCATTAACACTTTCTGAGCAAAAATTTTAGAAACATTCCTTGCTGTCTTTTTTTTTTTTTTTTTTTTTTTAAATCAGGGCTGTCTGACATGGTGGTCCTTAACTTATGTTGAAGTCTGTATCTCTAGGAGGATACATATTATCCTCTTCACACTGTCTGCTGTAAGGGTCCACGATTCACAGAACATTACAAGAACACCAAAATTATAGTTACAAAAGAGCGCACCAGTATAATACTGTTGGAGCTGGGTGTCAATATTTTTGTTTCACCATGTGCTCCTAAGTTTTATCAATGTTATTGCTGTCTGTGTGACCCTGGAGAGTAAACAATGCACTTCATTATTCGACCCTTGAGTTACCATTGCTCTCACTCTCAAGTGCATCATGTACGCCAAGCTGTCTACTTTGGCCAGCTTCATACCGCTGACCGCGATGTCAGTGCTTATGCTATGTGTGTTATTGTCCCCAGTTTACTCCACTCTACAATTACCTGAAAGCCGTAGGCAGTTGGGGACTTGTCCAGACTTTCTACTGGACCAAAAATTTCTTATCGTTGGTCTAGCGTAAGTTAGATCATCGCGCTTCCAGTGCTGACTGAGTATATCTAGTTCTACCATGTTTTCATGAAGGAAGATATTGAACAGAGTCAGCGTCAGTGAAAGCATGCAGCCTTGCTTTACTCCGACTGTTATTTTGGAACAAATCCTTAAAGCAGCTTCAGAAATAATCTGCGCTTGTATTTTGTCGTATTGGTGTTCCGTTACTTTGCCTGAAATATTTAGAAAAATTCAGGGTGTTCATTTTGAACAACGTGATAAAGCATCATTTCAAACGCCTTCTTCAAATCCATGAAGTGATGATGAAGTCTAGGTACAATACACTGTAGAGGTCTTGTCGATGTTGATGGCACTTTTCAATGAGTACACAGAGAATAATGATCTGCTCTGTTGTGAAGTGCTGTGTTTTGAAGCCAGCTTGTTCCTCCGATATGATTTTCTTAGTTTATGGCTTTAGTCCGTTCAGCCAGAATTTTAATACGTTTTTTCTTGGATGGCATAAGGCTGATTTTGCGGTAGTTTATAAATTACAGTTCAGGTTGTCTCTTTTGAGCAGGGGACGGTTGGTAACTGTGTACAAGATGGGGGCCATTCCCCTATCCGCCGTATTTAGTATGTGTAGAGGCTACCACGACACCCCTTAATAAAGAGAGAAATATTTGGTAGAATGGTTCCCCTACGTATGAACTGACTTAAAGTTCAGGGTCAATTCAATTTCAACTCACATTCTTTATGACAAAGGCCAAAAGCCAAACCGACACTGGTATTGGGAAAGTGTGGAAAAAAACGCTGAGATCTGACTGGGAACGTATGAGAAGCCAACACAGCCATGCTCTCTTCTTGAACTCAGTCTTCGTTTGTTTATTTTTGCTTGAGTCAAGAGAAGCACATCGACACAATAATGGTTATTTAGCGCTGGGGAAAGCAACTTCTTAGTTCTAGTAAGAGTTTTACTTTTACGGCACATGCAATACAATAAGGTCATTTAAAAAGTGCTGAAGATTGGAGGTGTTACAAGAAAGTAACAAACACAAAAAAGAAGGAGGGGAGATAAGAATGATAGATGTTTGATAGGAAAGAAGAAGCAAAACCACACTAGAGCACCTGCCAACCACCCAGAGTAAGACAGACAGAAATTACATGGGGAAAGTAAAGAAGTAGGACCTACCAGTGACACCCTCCAACTTAATCTTCACAAGACAACTATCGCATGTATTTTCACAAGCCCCCCCCCCCCCCCCAGCTAGTTTGATAAAAAATGAGTCCTCTGTCAAAATAAAGACAAGTAAACACAACATGACTTTGACAGGGAGTGAAAGAAAGCTGAAAAACAAAAAAATAGAATAATCTGTCCCTGAGGTTTTAAGCACCCTGCATAATTTAGCAAAATTTGATCATTTTTTGCATAATTTCTATTATTTTCCTTTATCATTCTTTTTAAAATTAACAGAATCGCATAATTTCACATTTTTGGGCTCAAGTTTGCATAATTTCAGAATTTTTCTTGCATAAAACGATGGGGACAGAATAATCTAGATACAGCCCCTTAGAGCCTGACAGCATTGTAAGGGACATCGCTCTTGAAAGTGTATTCACAAGTTGACATCCCGACAAAAAGTAGGCCCGACGACCAAATGCGTACTGTGTGTGATTATGTCATGTAAGTGTCCCGGTATACCCTTTCCCCAAGACATTCTCGAGGCCACAAGCCTTGACATGGCCTTGCGAGGTGTATAAAAATAAGCAAGATGAGTAGCGTCACTAGTCATGGGGTTAGGTTATAGGACCTGTAATCCTGAAAGTGCAGGTTCGAAGTTTCAAGGCTCAGCTGTCTGACATGGTTCCCTTGGAAAAGGCACAATTTTCCCATTTGGCTCCATCCAATTGGAGATGGACGATACCCTTTTTAACGCAAAAGGTCAGCAACATACAAACTATAATCTTTCCAACGACCAATCAGTCTAAATTCTCTGTAAAAAATATCAGTCACACAAAACAAATTTTATCATTTTTACCAACAACAACATAGTGAGACAAAAAACTGACAAACAGAATGGATAAATCTGACAATATTTTTTACATTTTCTTTTTTTAATCAAATTCTTTTTACTGTATTTGACGCACAGCGGGTGCTCACATATTTACATCAGTCACAAGGATAATATATATCAACAAGATGTGAACTGAACACAAAATCTCTTCAAAGCTCATCTCTACTTCATACGCACATATATAACAATAACAACAAAAACTCAAAGCAGTTGAACCTTGTTGGAAAGTGGTTAAAGAAATACTATTCTTTCCAAAATCTTCAAAAAAGTCACACAGATTTCCATCAAACATGCACTCCTTCCATTCACTCGCAGAAGTTAGGTAAAAAGGCGAATCATTCAAATCATTCATGGCCATACTGCATTTTCTGAATGACAGAACACATACAAAAGGTATAAATTGTTCATGAGTTGGTTGCCTCACAACCATTTATCTACCACTTTCCTCCTCTCTTATGAAAACTGAAACCTATATTTCCACCAAAACACATCAAAACTTTTATCACTCAAAAACACTATAACTCTTTCAATAACTTTGACACAATCAATATTATATAGCCCCTCTCCTAAAAATATTAACACAAAAGAAGATACCTTTTTTTTAATCAAGAGGCAAACAATTTCAAAATCCTCCTCTTAAACTTGACACCAAAAACTTTAAAGACAGTCATATCATTGCGGTGAGACGCTCTATCCAGAATAAATTGCAAAACAAATTACTATCACAAACATCCTCAATTCTGTGGGCAGCTCTCACAGCTAGCGGATCCCACCAGAAAAGTAAACCATCAAAAGAAAACTATCTTGTCAGGACTGTTCTACATTCATTGTTGGCTCTGGAGAGAATGCATCAGTAGGCCTGAATTTTTCCCGGACCAGTGGATGTCCCTGGCATATCATCTTCATGTGATCCAGTACTCTACAAAAAGACGACAAAATCCAAAGATATAATGAGTATTGCAAAGTCACAAACGAACAACTGTAAATAATTTTTTTTCTAATGAGCATTAACAAAATAATTCTATAATATTACATTACTGATCGATGAACTAAGAAATTAATTGGTGCTCAGAAATCTACAAGATATTATAGTGAAAAATTACAGAAGACCAGCAAATATGAACGCACAGTATCTCCAGCCATTGTGGTACACATGCAGCAGCATTACGTTTTAAAGCAGCTAGTACAACAATATAGCTTTTATGAACGGCATTTCCTGTCATCTGCCTTTATGATACATCTGCATATGGAGCATTCATACTTTCAAGAAAATGAGAAAAAAACTTTATCATTAGTTTACTACACGTTTTAGCCTCTTGATTTTTACAATTTATATGTAAGCTGTCATAAATTTATGGGTTTTAAAATAAAATGTGAGAGCTGATTTTTAAGACTGTGCTTAGATCAAATGCCTTTAGACCAGAGTTTTCAAATATTGTTCCATATGTGGATAGCAAACTGCAATGACAATAAAGAGAAACTGGAAAATTGAACATGGAAAAGCTGTCTCTATCTGTAAAAATATAAAAGGGAGAAAGAAATACAAGAAAGCCTTTCATAATATTAGTCTTTAATCACCAATGACAGTTTTATGCTCTGTAAACTCAATTAGATGTTAGAAAAAGAAAGAACCTTCAAATAGCCATCTCTTCTAAGACACAATAGAAAGCTTTGAAAACTCTAAAAATCTTAAAGGCTCAGAATGAGTTTGAACCTGGGTCACAAGAACCAGTCTTACCACATGAACTGTCCTATGGCACATGTGATAGTGATACATGAAACCCCTTGATGACTAGAGCATATTGAAGACTTACCTTTTGCACATACTGTGGGTTGACTGTGATCTCCCTGTCCATTTCACGCAGTTTAGAGTCGAGTTGGATGCAGCGCTGCATCTGTTATACAGATAACATAAACATTTTAGCCAAATCTAAAGAGGAACAAACACATTAAGCATTGCTGAAAGGAGAGAAGAACCTCCATGTCTGCAAGCAATAATATAGCTTAGAGAAAAGCAGGACCTCCTGTCCCACCCTCCAACCACTCCAAATAAATCTGGTCCTTACTATAGATTTTGTGAGATGAACACAATGAACAGAGCTGAAGAATCTGCCCTGCATCTTATACCTCAGAGACAAATCTTAATTCCTAAGAGGCCAATCTTTTGTCTTCAATGTTATAGATGTTTCAAATCGTTATACACACAGAATAGGTCACTACGATGACAGGCAATTTGGTACCAGGCCAGAAATCGATACATTACTGTGACACAGCAGATATAAGCATATTTTACAAAAGTGAACGAATGGGCCGAAGTTAACAGCAATTCAGAATGGCTACATTTCATAAACAAAATTGATAAGAGAGAAGTCAACATGTAGTAGTATCATGTAAGTTACTTTGACATGTTACCTCCTAATCAAATACCATCATCTACATGTTCATGCACTAAATTTTGAACATATTTCACCTCTTTATCCAACTCCAAGAGCATATTTGGACTGCTGTATTTCTCTGGGTTGTCATGAAATCTAACCATTCCATCTTTTTGATTAATGGTGGCAAAGATCTCTCCATCCTCAATCTGCAACATCATGGTAAGGAGGAAAACATGGATGAATGTTTCAATGAAAAGTCAAAGATATCGAGAAGGCCCATACACATAACTAAAAATTCACCTTGTGCATATCCGTAGATCTTGACTATCAATAGCCTGACATTTTGACAAAACATTGTTCCAGACTTCAAACCCACATGGTTCTGTCCTATCGGAGATGAAAATTAAATATGCAGGTCTTCCCTTTTAAAATAACTTTACAGTTTTGCAAAGGGCGTTGAATCTATACAACTTCGCACAATTTTGTACACATATATGACTTCATGCCAGCATGTGAAGCAATGAGCCTCAACTTTCCCCGGCCAGATGTCCAAGCATACACCTCGAACTAGACAACAGGTGCAGCAAGGGGAATATGGACCCCTGCTAAGTCTTTTATCACATGGTGAAGGCTACTGATACTATACACAGGAGAAAGGTTAATCATGACACAGCAGCTGTTTAGAACTAAAAAAGAACTGACATTATTACCTCTACCTCGCAGCCACAAATGAATGGCAACGCAAAAAACATAATTATGTACCATTGTAGCTTGTTACCATTGTTGGCGAGTCCCAACTTCAATAACGATCTGTCTAACAGGAAACTAACTGGGACAAAAACAAGTCTGAAAATGAAGTAAGAGGAGAAGACCACTCCTGAGCCTCGACCATCCACCCATTTCGCCAACCTTTGCTTGCACACTACTCACAAATGAAAAAGCTTTAACATAAAAGTGAACCACCATAGCGACAAAATGGTTGTCATGAGGGACTAGATAAAAAGTTAAAAAGCATACAGAAACTATAATAAAATTGGAAGGCAGTGACATTTTGTTGTTGTGGTGAAGCACTACCCTCTACAAGATAGTACATATAAATGACGGAAGTACATGGTCTAGTGAGAAGAGTAAAAAAAGAGAGGAGAGGACAGAGGGCAAAAAAACACCAAGCAGATATAAAAAAACAACTATACAAAATTTGTTCATAATTTTAAAATTGACTGGTTGAACCTTCAGCCTGGAGAGCAAAGGGTTCATCCATTAGTCTTTAACCAACAGTTTGAGAGATGCATTAAGATCAACCAGAAGTTACTATACATATACTATTAAAGAGAAAAACAATCTGTCTCCCCTTACCATGTGTAAGACATAGTTCTCAGCTTCCTTGGGGCCAGACAGTTGCACCCTGTTGGCCATGTCCGTCAGGGACAGGGTCAGGAAAGTCTGAAACGCACGAAAATCCTGTTACAACATAGATCCACGTACCTAATCAGGAAGTGGCATCATTGCATACTGTACATTGTCTAAAGTTAGGGAGACAACAACAAAAAATTATTTATAAAAGACAATTATGACAGGCAAAAGCAAAAAGTATACCCGAGTTACATGTCTTGATTCATAGTAATCATGTATAAAGAGCAAAAGTGAATAGAACTGTGACAAAATAATGTTCTATTCAAGTCCCCCAAACCAAACAAACCCATAGCTGCCAACTTTTCAAAACAAAAAAAAACCTCCCCACGCTCTATCCATGCAGCAAGATGGTGGACACTGGTCAAATAACCCCAGCTCCCCCACCCTTCACACACATTTCTCTGAAAGCAATAAATTCAAGTGATTCAAAATAGAACTGAAGCAAAGACCTGTCCAGTTAACTTATCAGTTTCGTTCTCATTATTATCCATAAATCCTGTCTTGAAAGCTCATAATATTTCTTCAACACAGCAATTCCATGAGGAACAGTACTAGAAAACAGAGAATACACATTTTCCAATACGAAAATGGATTTATACAGACCCTAAAAAATTGTATAGGGTACGTTTATTACACACTGGTTGGCAGCTATGCAGTTCAGCAGATAAAACTAATGGAAGAAAAAAAAAAGTGAAAAAAAGGCATGAACAATAAGAACTAAAGAAAGAAAGTACAGACAGATTTACAACCCTACAAACAAGCCTCCAGGTGGAGGTACAGTAGTCTCTGCCTAAATGCAAGGTGCGTGGGAGGACTCTTTAACTTGTGTTTATACCGAGCGTGCGTTTATATGAACCTTTGCAAAAGGAGGAGGGGACGCATTTATCTCATTGCCTTGATATTCTAGGGACCTCCCTTTTGGGAGGGGATCACTTTGGGCCGATAATATGACGATACGTCACTGTTTTGCGAAGGATTCCCCAACTGCGGTAAAGAGTACAACGGCATTGAATGGGCGGGAGGGGGGCCCAGAAAAACAGACAGTTCTTTAGTCAGAATCATAGATCTCTACATTCAGAAAAACAGACTCAATGTCGGAAACAGATAGCCTAAAAGGAAATTGCCTGTGATGGTCATAAAGACAACAACCCAGCCACGTGGCTTTCCAAGCAACCATCCTTGGCCGTAAATTCATGAACGATATCAGAATAATAAATCTCTACATTCAGAGAAACATATTTCTTGTGTTTCGTTGCAAAAGTAAGTTCTTCGAGCGCAGCTAATTAGACTTACTTGACGAATCTTTAATCCTTCAGAGGCCTATCTTGTGTTTTACAGCATTCACACGTGTTGCACATCATAGGCCTAGGTCTAATTAAACATAAGATGCAGTGACCCAACCACCAGTCAGAAACCTTCTCTCAAAGATCATGCATTTCCAGTGACCAATCAAAAAACATTTCAGTCCCCCAAACCTCCAACATTTCACGGACCAGTCCTAGACCTATGTGCAGAGATGCCAACCACAGAAGACCTAAATGAGTATTTGGAAATATGAAAATGTGTATTTTCAGGGGAAAATGTGTATTCCCCATGACCGACCGACCAACTAGTAAAATGTTCAGGGTGTCCAGCAATATTTCATGAAAAAAAAATTACTAGCTCACCAGCTCGAAAAAGGGAGCACACACGCGTACAATATTCATGTATCCAGTTAACAACATGTTAGTGTTCAGTATCGTACTGGGGTCTTGTTTGACTTAAGTATTTCAGTCTATTATTATAATATTTTCGTCTCATTATTAAATAAAAAAATTAATCCTGCTTTGAGCGTTCGGAACGGCCTAGAACAAGAATTTCGACTATCAAGAACCAGTCTGGGTGTCATAATTCATGTTATGAACTGACAGACTTAAATTATTGCTCAAACTCAGAGAAGAGCAATAACTTGAATGGCTCAAGTATACCCACGCAGTGTGAGAGTTGTAACAACTGTGGGAGTGAAAGATGCAGTAACACTGAAAATCTACCAGTCTTGAACAGAAAGCTACAACATACACTGTAGGTTTAATTTATTATCACCCAGCCAATGAAACGCGAACACTCTATTTCAATAACACAGACTTGCAAAGTATGAAAGGTCCCAATTCCGCACACGGCCTGCACCAATGCGCGCTTTGCAGAAGCTTTAATCAAAATACTGAAATTGCTTCCAAGTTGTTGTCCTCTGGCATTGCCGTCACCCCCCCCCCCCCCCCCCCCCCCCTGTATCTTTAAAAAAAAAAATCAATAATCCCCTCTCCTATTCCGTAGTCCTATACTTCGCCACGCCGTTACTCCCACCAAAGACGGTCTTAGCTCACACGATGCCGTATTTTTATGATGCGAATGCGTGCAGGGTCACTGACCGGTCACGATGGCGAGCCAGACAATCTAAAAATCGGACGACCCTTGTATTTTCTTTTCTTTTTTTTTCCACAACTAACAGCACAGAGACGAGTTGGGGCATTGATTAAATTTTATTTGCACGGCGACACAGCGTTTAGATCTGTACTGCACAACCAGCATGTCACAAATGTTGCGTTATCAGACTACTGCTGGCAAACTTCTCTGTGGTAACGAAAGCGAAAGTACATCTTGATTTTCCCGATCGAGCCTGGGTGTCACATGCACTTCCGCCTGCCGCCTGTCCGCGTGAAAGTGAACGTACTCTCGGACGGGGAAAAGCTGAACGAATAATATCACAATCCCGACCGCCAAAATTGAACTTACAGACCTTATCGGACTTGGTTTTCAAATATTCCAGTTCCGCGATACTGAAACTATTTTGACAAAAGATGGGACTTGAGATAATTAGGATTACTCGTCCAAGCTGAATCTCGTATTTTCCGCATTCCAGGATGCATATTTTTTCATGAAAAGTCGTATTCGCGTATTTTCGGCAAAAAATCGTACTAAAATACGTAAAATCGTACTGGTTGGCATCTCTGTATGTGTCAGTGAAAAGTTGGGTGTGAAAACACTGTCCATCACTCTCTTTGTTCGGCGAGAGGGGCAGTCTCACCAAATATCTGGTTTTCTAGGCTTGTCTTAATACTTAATGCAAGCTGTGCAGATTGTAGTGAAAATTTCCCTATGTCAAGCTTTATCTGTTGATATGTTTCGCAGATCGGAGCGAGCGTTTAGCGGGAGTGACTGTGTGTTTGTACGTCTAAATTATATTGTAAAAAACCAGTCAGATGACGAAAGTGTGCGTTTCAGCAGAGCGTGCGTTTAGGTGAGACTACTGTGTTGACACAGAAGGAGAAAAACCTGCCTTTGTCAGTCTCTGTATGTTCTTCTTGATCATGGATGTCTGACACTGTTTCACCAAGCCCATGTTGTTGTCCTGTGGCACAAGGAAAATGAAAAGGTGAATTTTAAAAATACTAAATTTTTAATTGCTTTTTTGCAGTTGTAGAGGTAGAATGTCCTCCTACAATTTTGGGTTCCCGTAAAAGATGAGAAAGGAAACACTCCAAAATGAGAAAAGTCCAGACTCCATTCAGATCTGAACCACACATTGTCACATCTGTCGGGCCCATAACTAGTGGCGTCATATCGACAGGCAGCCACAATAAATCAAAATAATAATAACTGATAGCAATTTTTGATGGGCATTACAATCAAATGAGCTATCCGATAAAAAATTTATAAGGAACATCTTGAGGTGAAACAACTAGCAAGCACTATTATATATATTACTCCGCACACATTAAAAATATCAGCGTCACATATACTAGCAATGTTTCAAAGCTTCTCAACACATGTCGAAATAATAAGAGTTCTCAGGAAAGGAGAAGTTCACAGACCCAATGACATTTATTCAGAACATGGGAAAAGAAAAATGCCTTGTACAAATAACTGACAGATGGAAAAGAAATAGGACCAAACAGTTATTTTTTACGTTTAATTGGAGTTTTACAGTACTTGCAACATAATTAAGTCATATAAATGTCAAAAACTAGGTGTTACTAGACAGGAATATGCAAAAAAAAAGGAGGAAAGATAAGGACAACAGATATTTGGTAGGAAAGAGAGAGAAAAAACCCATACCAGAGTGCCTGCCAACCACCTACCAAACAGTAGCGCATTTCAGTCATACATACAATAACTACTCATAACCAATAGATCCTGTATCCTCTTTACCATCAAATCATATTTTCAGAAAACAATGGGAAGACAGTATAACCCAAAACAGTTACAGATAAGACATACTCTTTTTGTCAACCTGAATCTCAATACGCGAGCCTAAGGAGTAAATATCCAGCATGAAATGTACATATATTAGGAGTTCTTAGATACTGAAATCTTTGAACATATTAAGTAAAAGATAACAGACCAAAATAGACCAAAAATCTTACCCTGTTGAAAACTTCTGTGTGTTTGGTCAGCGTTGTGCGTAGATCAGCAAGATTGTTCTGGGCATACACAGAGGCTAGATCCAAATATGGCTGGCACAGGGGCTGAAGATGAAAAAAAAAAAAGAAGATATTTGCTAATTTTACAATTAAACTTAATTATGTACAATGCAACACACAAAGAAAAACAGGCCGTTTACATGTGTATGAGTGAAGTAAAACAATATGATTTTTGTACCTTCGAGGAAAAGTAAAAAAAAAGCCATGACTTGTTCTTTTTCAAGCAGTCACGATCTGTGCACTGAAGATTAAATTTATACAGAATTGATATTGACAAATAAACGCAGGGAAGTTGGTGGTTGTATGCTCCAGGTGTTGACCATTTCTCTCCTAAAAAAACTCCAAAAAGCTACTAGAAATGTTGAATACTCCTGTGGCACGTTTCTGGATCTATTCTTTGGACATTTTTAAAGCTTGACTTTTCTCAAACACTAGGATTGGTTTTCTTCATATTTACATGCTTGACGTCCCCCGGATTTAATTTAATTTTCCAAAGTTTCGCTGAAATCAGAGCAGAGATGACCGAGTCATTGCCCTTTAAGACGATCCTCTTTTTTTAGATACCCTGTATTCATTAATGAACTTTATGAACAATGAGTGAGACTCCATACTTTCATACTTAGCTTCACAAAATTAGAAACAAAGAATAAAAAGTTTTCACACCTCACACCCTGTTTCATCTACACTGGTTCACACATGTAAATAACAAAAGAGGATTTATTCACCAGCTGAAACAAATCCCATAAGAACAAACAGAACATTGAGGATTAGGGACCCCACCCCTACCTTTTATGTGCCTTTTACAAAACAACAAATACTCCTGCATAAATAGAGCAAAACTTACTCGGATGTACCGCTTGAGAACTTGGGATGTATATTGTGGAAGATTGATGATCTGACGAGAGATGAGAACAATATGTATATAAATAATATATACATATATATACATCAAACAGTATCTACTTGACATTTAATATGATCACTTCATTTCATTTGTCCATAAGGGTTATTCAGACAAAACTGCTGGCAGTCAGAGTTAAAAAGGGGATTTCCCTTTTCTATCCCGAGTTCAGTGAGTAGAAAAGGGGAACTTGACATTTGGAGTTATGTGAATGAAGCTGCATGTGTCTGACAGAAACAGAATGTCTTGCTGTATGATGAGGCTAGCAACAGAGTTATTATGAAGTTGTGTGAGCCTTCTCACTCAGAAGGGATACACAACATCTTTAAATAAGATTTCAAATTTTCCACCAACAAATAACATACTTTACATTACAAACTTGCATCTTTCTTGAAACACAATTACGTGTATAAACAGATTGAAGTGATATCACAATGGCCTTATTATATACTTTATCTAGAATATAAAAGCACAGAGTAATTGAACCTTCCCGCTCTGAACACTACACAAGACAAAATTGCCCATTGTTCTATTTAATCAAGTTACATGAAAACATACCTTTCCATGTAAAATAAGAGACACCAAAATAAATTTCTTGTAGGCTTCCATCATGATGTGGCTCACAGCTACACTGGGCGTAGTCACCACCTGTGATGCATACACAACAGCTAAATACAGTCACAAAGACAACGATGAAAAGAAGTAATTTATTGGACATATAAAACATGACCAAAAGTGAATAAAATCACCTTGGAAAATAAAATAACGCTCAAATTGTAACCCCATTCTCAAGAGTAAAAACTACAGTAAAACTCCCGAAAAAATAGATTTTGATGTTGGCAATGTTGGACAATAAGCAATTGGAAATACGAATTTGTTAGAAAGCTACAAGAGTTTGGAAAACAAATTCTTTAATTATTTCAGAATAATCTAAACAAAAACATTGGGCGACGTGATATAAGAGTGAAGAAATATAATGTCATTCTTATTTCAAAATCAAAATGAATAACTTAGTGCAAGTTCTTTAGTGTAGCAATAAAGAACTCATATAAAAATATATAACTTCCATATCACTTTTTTGACATTGGTCTGTACGATGGACCCCCCCCCCCCAAATGAAGTAAGCAAAGAAAAAGACACTGCTGATATCCATCAAGAAGACTTATGGTAATATTTTCAACTCACCACTTCAAAATAGTAGAGTGCTCTGTCGTAGTTCTTCAATGCTGTGTAGATCATACCCCCATAATAGTAATGTAACAGGTAGTCTTTGGCATCAAACCGTCCCCCCTGGCAGTCAAGAGGAAGTAAAAGATGTCTCAAGAACTTGCAGAGTAAAACTTCGGCTTTATGGGTCTATCAACACTATAATAAAGATAAACCAGTGAGAGACAGGAGACTGAATATAGTTTTTGTCATAAATTTAGCCAGTTAGAGACATACTTTGACATAGAAACACCTCACAAAAATAATTAGCAGTTTTCAAAAGGCACGACCCTTACCCGTTATAAAATACTATTAATAACCTGACCAAATCTGATACATCTGAGATAAGTCTGTATACTTTAAGTAAATGTGTGTGTACTTGAAAAAAAGGGTCCAAATGCGCAACTTTTTACTTTTGTAGTTTATTGCATTTTAGTATAGAATGGCCTTTCCAGGTGCCTCTGTTTTTTTTAATTTTTCAAGATGTATCTCATTAAGTTTTTGAGAACTTTTGTGAGAGAGGGGTGCACCAACTACTTTTGAGAAAAAGGAGAAAATAAACGCTACTTCGAATATTACGTAATGAATATGTATTTTTAAAAGCTTTTAAATACATACTTAAAAGAATTGGCTGAAATATTTCGTGAGGATAGAGAAAAATGGTAGATGAGTTGATATCCTTGTGAAATATCCATCCAACTTCAATAGAAGTGGAGATATTTTGGATTGAAGGAGATGGGGGTCACCTGATTTAAGAGGAAACATTAGCGAAAAAATGGTCGCTAAAGCTTGGTAAATTCCAAAGCTGGAGAGTCCATGGAGACTAAATTTTTATTTTTGTGCCTTTAATCAACATTTTCGGTGAAATCCTCAAAGGAATATTTTGTAAATGGACAAAAAAGGTGTTGAGCCAAAAAACAAAAAATTTGATAAAAATTGCTAAGCAGGGAGAAAAGTTCTGTTTTCTTCGATTTCCTTATTTTGACGGGAGCCTGATTCCACCACGCTGCCTCACATTTTTGCTCTACAATGATACTGGTACCAAATTCAGACTAATTAAAGATAACAGAATAAAAGAACACTCCACAAGAGTTCTGATAACATGCTCTGAATCTTATAAATTTTTCACTTTTAGTGAACTGGCCAGAGAAGTAAATTAAACTGTAATTTTGCATAAGATATAAACATTTTTCTTCTCCTTAAAAAATTTTTAAAGAGCATTCTAACTGCTATTGTAACTGTAAATGCACAGTTCAAGGCATACCTCTCTGCTGATTTCTGTTATGTCAATATCAAGGAACCTCAATGCAGGTTTCAGGTTCTTGGACAGCAAACAAAGCTGAGGGACAAAAGCAGGTCGAGAAATCATTACCAGTACTAGTCTTTTCAGATTCACACTCAGGCAGAAACAGCAAATCTTGAATACAACCTATCTTCTTTCGACCATAAAATATTTCTGTTCAAGCAAGTCTATTCAAGGGAAACTGCCCAAAAACTTTGCAGCTATGAAAATGAACCAAGAAACCGAGTGTATATAAAATTCAAGTATACAGTGCTGAGTGAACATAGGTTATACTATACCATATATAAGAAGTAAAAATTTCTTACTAAAATTATTAAGAGATATCATCTGACACATACAAAAAACAGCTTTTCACATCATGGACAGATGAACAGCATTATAACACTATAATACTGACGATTCCTAGACAGCCAGGCCAGCATATTTTTCGTCCATAAACAAAATTACAGAGCCATATTCATAACCAAACATTTTACAATAACATGGACATATAATTATTATGACATAACAAGATAGTAGATGTCTAGCCAAATAGGGAGTCTCCACTGACAACTAAACACCACTGAAGACAGATTCACTGAATTTACAGGAGCTGCACACATTCAACACTCAAATAATAAGTAATCTTGCAATGTACCTCCTTCACAATAGGTCACATTAACACAGCCATTAATGGAAAACTATCAGTTTCAACTAAACCTTTAAAGAGTAAGTTGCCATCTCTTCAATTTGATTACAGTCTTAAGGGAAATATTTGGGGTTGTCTTTTTTTGGGGAGGAAAAAAATCCACATGAAATCATAATCAGACAGATATACAGATAATGAGAAAGAAACTTTAAAACCATGTCCTTTACGCTTTGAGATATAAGTTTTTCAGTGTTCCAACAAACTCTTCATATGCAGATTTCATACCGACAATGAAAACAAATAATCTTACTAAACATTCACCAACCTGGCAAAGATTAGCGTGAATTGATGTCAGTTGGGCAGGATGAATTTGGATTTTTTGAATGGCTTGAGAAAGAGGGGCAATCCCACTGGAATACTGAAAGAGACATTGGTAATAAGAAAATCAAAGCAATTAACTATGAAGATGCAGCACATTTATGCACTTCGAAGGTATGCAATCAATATAACTTCAAGCCACTACTCTACTGCTATCATGAAAAAGAATAAGACATGAAACCGCTTCTTTTGTTAACAGATTAAAAACCAGAAAGATCTTCCGAGCTAAACAAAAGTTACATAGCAATGATTTTCAGGAAGTAAAAAAAAGTTTAACCCCTCCATGATCCATGATGCTGGGTCACTTCATGTTTCACTAGGCAGTTTTCAATCTCCAGGGACCAGAAGCAGCGCTAAATTTAGAGGTCGAATGCCTATTAGAATAGGTTTGTAAATACTATGAACTGTGTCTAAACAGAAACAATTTCTTTGAAAAGAAAACATATTTCTGAATTTGAATCTGCATTAGTGTTCCAAAGTGCACCTAATAGAAGCATTACGTCGAATATAACATATGGCGAACAGTGCTTATCATTATGGTCATCCTGTTTCGCAAGGTATAACGAACAGCATCTTGCCGCCATCGCCACATTTAAAAAAAACTACTAACAGCGCTCCTCATATTGTTTATGAAGGGGTAAAAACCAAATCAAATATTCTTTAGCGCTCAAAACTGACATTTAGTTTGGAACCATGAAAGAGTCAAAACAACCATAACAGTAACATAATCATATGATTGAAAAAAAATTCACATGAATAATGGGATAAGATATTAATCTTAAATAACAAAACAGTGACAGTGCCTTTGCTGTCATTTATATTACCAATCCTGACGCCAGTAATGAGCCACAAACACTACCTAAAAACATATAAAATGGGTTATCAAATATTGTTTCATAACAGCTGTCATCCTAGCACCATTCTTACCATTTTCCTGTCAATCAAAGTCTGTGCATACTTGTGACAGAGTTCAGCATCTGAAAATATACACATCCATCCATTATGTTTTCCTGCTGTGAAAAAGAAAACTTTGCTCATAAGGTACTGGAAGTCCTTTCATGAACAAACCAAAGGCCATCAGCCACACAACACGGTAAACAAGTAGACAGGACGAGATGACAGTCATTACATCATCATGCAGTATTCAGACAAGACATAAAACCTAAATACACTGGTACATGGGCAGTCAAGATCATTCTAAACTTGTGTTTTTAAATTACTTAACTTTAATTGCTAGAGCATTTCATAACATCACAACAGTAGCAGTGGAGCAGTAGCTCAATAATAATAATAAAACGAGCATAAAAAACAATATCCCTGCCAGTGTCACACCCAAGCAACAAAACAATTATAAAGGGAGATTACACATCCAAAATTATAAAATAGTCTTCTACAAAGAGAAATCCTTCTCCCTTTGCTCCCTTAGAACCCCACACACACACAAACACACACACACAGAGAATACAACAAAAAAATCGCAATCCTTTTCAACAAGGCGCTCAAACTGAAGTGCCCGTCTAGATTCATTTCACAAATCATCATGATGTCAAGGTACTTACAACTGTCAGTGGCATAACGCACTTGTTCACCATTGCATTTGGAAAGGAACTCTGTTGTTTGAACCAACAATGTGTCAATATCAGACGTGTTGGACAATGGAAGATTGTACTTAACACACCTGAAAATAAAATATGGCACGCATGAGCAGGGGTTCTAAGACACTACATCACATGAAAGCGCCTGAAGTAATAGTATGATGGTAAAAAAACAACAGAACGCATGTGTTCCTACAGTTTCCACATACACACATATATATATGTATAGAGCAGCATTTAGTGCTGGGACTCATCATGGTAAAAGCAAAAGAATCAATGGTTGCATCACAAATTTAACCATTATTTTTTAAATTGAAACTTCAAATATGTGAAATAAAACTGGACTTTGTTTCATTCTCATATTTTATTTTACTATCAAGTGCAAGCAGAGCTATCAGTTTTTTGTGGTACAGTTTCATGTTTATTTTGTTACGTCTATCCATGCTGCCTGGCACTTTGGTTTAGTTACGCCAAAAGATAGAGAAGGTCAGCAATAAGACAGGCCAGCAGAGAAATGCTAGAATGTAAAATGAAAGCTTTGTCATTAAAATTTATACTCAAACCCCCCCCCCATATGAATTCCATTCTGAAAGACCTGATGATGAGTTCAACAAAAGCTTAGACAATTCAGGTCAGTTAAATACCTGAAGATTAACTTAAAATCATGATTATAATAGATGCCAGAAAAAATAAGACAAAAGACATTTCTTTTCATTGACAGTGAACACAATGAATAGGCATGGGAGCAAGAAGCTCCTGAAGCCACATTGAATGTTCTCATTTCCTTTTGTGACAATAAGAATTATACAACCTGAAGCTATAGTTATAAAAACAGCTTTTCAGGAAGCCATGAAAACAGAACACCTGACTTTATATCCATAAATCTACAAGCACTTTATTTTAGTATCCGCTCAAAGTCAGAAGAAAAAAATATGTACAAACAAATTTCTGATTAACCAAACTTACAAAACTCCCAAAACTCCCAACGAGGTTTGCTGCATGTCCAAAGTACCAAACACATTATCCAAATGGGAGGCATTCTTTGTCAACATGTCAGTACTCTTGTTGATGAAATCACATAGCTGCGTCAGGTTGCCTAGAGAAAAAAGAGGCAGAAAGAGATCCACAGCTGTTACAAACACCATAAACTGAAACATATAAAGTACTCTTTAGCACTAGTTTTATGATGGAAAAAAATGAAACAAGCAATTTCAACTTTTCAGAATGAAGACTTAAATGGTGTTCTTGTTACTCACTCCCTGATCAGAAGACCATTTTTGCCTTAAGACCAACTTAAGTTCCTTTGAGGAGTTAGGCATATATATTCATACTCCTCTAAAACATTTTGAACTTCACACATCAAACTAAGAACAATGTCTTAGCTGATAAATTAAACTTGTGTGAAACCTTGACTTGAGATAAGACTATATGCCCTTTACGATTATTTTTTTAAAAGTATAAAACAGTGGATCGGTAATGTGGAATTTGAAGATAATCTCTAGCAACACTTGTTTTTGGTCAATGCATACACAGACAAAAACATATCGTTGAGTGTGGGCTGTGTGACTGCGACTGAATCAGCATGATAGAGCATGCCTCCTCCATCGATCTTCTACGAGGATGGATAAAAAAAACTACGGGAAGTTGTGAAATATCTCGACCACAGTACTAACTTTTGCGCATGGCACTTAGTAATGTTCCCATGACATGATATCAAACACAAGGTAGGTAGATGTTTTTCTTCAATGTTGAAGGCCACTGACCCACATCACACAAAAAATACACATTTTACAGAAAAGACTTCTGAGAAAATGGCATAAATTATAAATGACATAAAGCAATAACATTTTAAAATTGTGTTGCGTTGTGTGGTTAAATAAAGTTTCAATAATAAAATAGTATAGGTTTTATACCCTTTCTCATGGGTTAAGCAACACTATTATATCACTGGGTCGAGTTAGCCGGGGAGAATGAGCAATTTCCTTTGATATGCAAAGCTTGTAAAATAAAAAATATAGTGAAACTCCCCCAGTTTACTCCCAAGAGCCCAAACCATTGCAATTGTATGTGATGTCATAAAATAGTATAATAAAAAGAGTAATGTCACATGAAACTACAATGGTTGATTAAAGAGCAGACCACGTCAAAGATTGACTCTGGCCCTGCTGATTATGCACCCCATGTTTTGTTTATTATCCTTTACCCACTTTCGATTCCCAAAGAGCTATGCAGCCATGCTCTGCAGGACATGCCCCCGTGAAGTTTTTAAAAAATCCTGGGGGTTACAGGGAGGCATGTCCCCTTGTTTATAACAGTTTTACTACATAATTTAATGTTTTGCAGTTAGGTTTGAAATTTTCTTGAAAATAATTAATATGTGACAGATTAAGTGGCCAAATGTGTGATCTGCAGCAAAAAAATACTGAGACGGTTTGGCCCCCAAAGCAGTGCAGCTGTGTAGGGAAGTGAAAGCAAAATATGCCATTGCTTTTATGACTAGTCAGTATCTGAGTCGCTAAATGACTGCTAGAGTAGACCCAGGTAACTTCGCCAAGAGGGGAAATTCGCCATCTGTCCCCCACCCCTCCTACCTATTTAAAATATGAATAATCTAATATACCCACCAAGGAAGAATTTAAGAGTCAAGTTGCTTGCGACCAGAAACAATTCTTTTACTTATTTATTTTTTTATAGTAGAGGGTTTTACGGCACTCGCAACTGCATAAGGTCATATGAGTGCCAAGGGGTGGGTATCAACATAAGATTAAAGTCAGGTGCGCGTCCACCTTAAAGCCTCTAGAAAGCCATAATTTGGCTATTTTCTTATTCATCCAAATTGCTTGCATCACAACTTAATCACAAGATAGATTGGCCCTACGGCATCATGTGAGCACCGGCTGCTGTTGGGGTCACAAAAGTTCATGCAAAGTCTGAAAGCCGCGAAGTATGGCACTCCTGAACGGGGGAATAATTGATTTTTATTTTTTTTAAATAGTTTTTGAAATACACTCATGGGAGAGAAGGGGGTGGGGGGTGTTATTGAAGAAATCCTGCCTGAGTTGTCTGAAATCTCAACAAAACTTCAGTCAGACACAGCTCAGCTTGATTTAAAACTAGATCTATGATTTTTAGTGCCTTTGTTATGATATGATTTTAATCTGATTTACTTAGTTTTCATTCATGATTTTACGAATTTTCCAATAATTATATTTTTGTAGGTAAGATTGAAGAATACCGGATCAGCGGAATAGGACTACTTTTGCCTATGTCTCGATAACCTTAGAAATTCATGATGTTCCCCAGTTTTTAATCTCTCTCAATGAAGAATCTCAGACCGGTAGCCTTGATCTATTCATTTTAAACAGTTTGTCAGGGGTAGGTCCCCCCTGAACCCCCCCCCCCTCCCCTAATCCCTTCCTCCGCCCCCCATTCTGGCGCAATAATACGAGTGGTCCGGTGTTCTTCAATCTTCCCGCCTTTTGTAGAGAGCAATAATAAACTGTATTGCTGTTTATAACGTTGTGATGCACGATCCAGTATTAGAGTAAAGTCAGGTTCGCATCCACCTTAAGGCCTTTAGAAAGCCATAATTTGGCTATTTTCTTATTGATCCAAAATTTGAAAGTATCGGCGTGACCGGCAGAATTGGACGCATCACCAGACTTAGTTATCGTCTCAGTATGCTTAATAGACTTCTTTCTACATTGCATTTTAATGCGTCCACTTTGGTCTGGTGACGCATCCACTTCGCTGGTGAAGCGTCCACAAGATCTGGTCAGTGCCACCACCCCCTAATTCTTCATAATATTAGAAATAAATGATGTTTTAACATAGAATCCAGATGTATGTTCACCCAGTCTGTCATTCTTCATCCTATTATTATCCACTCACTCATTCTTCATTATGTAAGAAATAAAAATGAACAAAACCTTTAGATCTATGTTAAGATATTTCATTTATTAACATTGCCATTAGATAAAGTGACAAAAAACATTTATAGGTAGACTGTTTGTTAATTTACAACCAAACATCTTTATACTTCTTAGGTTGATTTATTTACATATAATGTCCAGTAATTTAAATGCAAGTAAATTTATGTTTTCAAAATATGTAAGTACAAGGTAGTTATGAAATAGTGGGCAAGCAAACATCACAAATAAAAGTCACTGCTCTTAGCTCTTTGACCTGTCTTTCCACTCAATTCTTCCTTTCTGCTGCACGTTGCATGCCACCAGCTATCGCATAATTCACATTGCACCTACAGTCCATGCCAATGGCTCCGACACCCTCTACAACTTCTGTCCATCATCCCATGCATTTCATCATCCACCTCACTCTCATCATCTATCAGAATATCTTCATCTCAACCACTTTCTACATTCACTCTTTTCTTCTCCTACCTTTCAACAGCTTTTTCAAAGCAGCTTCTTCCCGCTTTCTTTTCTTATTTTCAGCCTCCTCGTGTTTCTTCTTTTTTCTCACCTTCTCTTCTGCCTTCTTCTTCTTCATCTCTTCTCTTTCCTTCTTCTTTTGCTCTTTCACCTGAAGGATTTCCTCTTTCTCAGCTTCTTTTTTTCTTAACATCTCATTATATATATATTCATAGCCATTAAGGGCCATCTAGAGAGGATAGACTTTTGTTTGGTCTACTCCTCCCCTCTCTCTCTGTCTCTTTCTGAATACTGTCTATCGGTGTGGACGATCAAATTGACCAAACCAAAGTTAAAAAATGATGTTAAAACACAAAAGTAAATTAATTTGGTCGTCTACAAAGATGCAAATATGCTACTTAACTTTTCGAATCGGATCGCCATTTTGTTTTGCCCGGATGTTCTCGCGCTAGGCCTAGCCTACTCCTCTCTCTTTCTCTCTCTCTCCACAGACAAAATTGAACGCTTTTTTTTAGGCTAACAAATTGAAAGTTTGTTCACGGCACAGAATTCTATAATTCTGTTATCACAGTGTAAAATTCTGTGGTTCAGGGTGAATGCTACACAGGTTGGCCAAGGCTATAACACGGTGAACGCACACCGGGTGAGAACAGCCAAAAGACTCGCCTGCGCTATTCTCACCCAGGGATTTCAGTCAGGCACCACTTGTTACTTAGATCTACTGATACATTACTTGCTCAGTGCCTGTACAAAACCTCGTGTCTGCTATAACAAAGACTCGGATTCAACGAGATTTTAGGCCAGGCCCGGCGACCTCGTTGAATCCGAGTTCCACTGTATTGTACTACAAATAACTAGATCTAGATCTAATAGTGGGAGTTATTCGTACAATATATGGGAGTGTATACAGACCCAGTAACCGGGAACAAAGTCACAAAGTATTATAGTATACAGACCCGGTAGGGGAACTCTTTTGTGATTTCGGAGAGTTTCAGCGCCCTCTTGGCTCAGGGTAGACCTAGGTTCTTCTAGATCTATGGTCTAGATCTAGATCTAGGCAGACA